CTGTACTACAGACGAATATAGAATATAAACGACATCGTAATATTGCTAGTTGTGCTAATAAGTCGTATATAAAATACACCCCTACACCCGTAGAAGGTAAGATTATCTGTGCCAATTCGGTAATAAGGACGAATATATAATATTAAAGACATCGTAATGCTGCTATTTGTGCTAACGAGTCGTATATAAAATACACTCCCTACATCCATATACGCAGAGCTGGCGTTGTTTATAGTTTACGACATTTTTTATTTTTCATTTCCCCCCCACAGGGGGTATACGAGTTACCGGACGCGTATGTGTATCGAATTTTTACCAGACGTATTTTTAATATTGGAGTGAAAATTATGATTCTCATGTTTGATGATACAAACCAATGAAAAAGAAGCTTGGTCGGAACCAATGAAAGATTAGCTTGGTCGAGGTGATGAATAACAATATGAAAACATGTAGGAAATGTTGGACTGAAATGTTGAATTCAAAAGACAAAACACGAGACAACAAAACACCAAACAACAAAAACCATTCCATTTCAATACATGTATATGAACGTGAGTAAGTGTGTTCTTTCAGTACGTGTATTAATGTATTTATGTGGAAAATGACATTGTCTGATATAACAAACGTGGCTGATAAACGGCGATCAGGTGGTAGAAGACGGTCGTGTAATATCGAAATAACAAACAATGAACCAATTGGTCAAGAAAATAATGTAGCTAGGATTGACAGCTTGCCATCGCAACCTCGGACAAGCACGTCAACGTCACAGACTGTAAGCGCAAGACGGCGATCGGGTGGTCAAAAACGGTCGTCTAGTGTTAGATTAATGCCATCACAGCTAATTCAATCTAGTTGTCCGTCGCAACAAAGTATAGCTAAACCCTAAAACCCTAATATGCCAAGAAGGTCGAACACTATACGAGCAATAAATGGTAGTTTTCAAAACAGTCAGCGAATACAGCAACCAGATTTCAGTCTCACCTCAGCTGAACAGCACCAGGATGCCTCCTTAGATACGATAATGAGCACTGACGGTGGTTTTACTGACGCTACTGCTCTCATGTTTATTTTGCGATTATATGGAATAGCTGGCAGTACAGATATAGTGTTATCAACAGAACACCCAAACAGCTTAAAAACAGAAATTCATTGCCTGCAATGGATTCACCTTTGAAACTGGAACCGGAGGAATTGGCGAGTTCAATAGAAGATGCTCAAATTATACGTGATTATGCAATTCGTAGATTCGAAATTGCATCTGAGACATTCAGTATCGGTACCTGTGAATGCTGTTCAACATATAAACCTATAACTGGTGTGTTCATGGACAAACATGACGAAAATTTTCATGTGTCTTTTGGGACGAAGAAGAAGTTTGTATACTCTGATTCTCGTACGGGTAGGTACGTTTACTTATTTAAGGCTAAAGCGGCATCTGGGCAGCAGCGAAATATAGACGGTAATCCGGTTGTTGATGGCGGCGGAAATCTTGTTAGTGTTTTTACTCTAATAAAAAATTTATGCAAGAAATGCTTTGCTAGCATAAGAAAAGTCGATAAGTTTGGAAATAGCTTACAACCTCTTTTTAGCATAAGCAACAACTTCTCACATGGCGTTCCAATTCCACACTGCATCAAAGCTTTGACGTATGCGGAGGAAGCACTCATAAGTCCAATCCAGCCTGCAATGGCCGCTAGAACTCTTGACTGGGGCTAAAGGCCATACGTCATATATTGATCGAAGTGATACAATCCAGCAAATAGCAACTAATTTACCTAGACGTGCTGAAGAAGTTGAGTTCATCGCACTTAAACGACAAACTGGTGAAAATACAGTAAAATACAGATATCTCAGATGTCGGAAATTGTATGTATTAAGAACTTTGAGATGGCTAATAGAGAATAGTCCAGCATTCGAGGACGTGATAATCTCACACGAAAATCTTTTGCTATTGCCTGATGATGGTCAACTCAATGTAAGAACTGTCGATGAGGACGGACTAGAGAATATTATTTCGGATGATGGACCTGCTCCAGGGCAATTGTGAGATGAGGAAAATGATAATGGGCTAGACTGACGAAGGTAATATTAGGGAAATAGAAATGTCAGGGATAGAGACTAGGAATGCCGGAGTAGCCTCTGGATTCGCACAGCGGTACAACACAAGTTTAAATGAGCAACTGGGTTTGCCTGAACCAGATAATGCTCATACTGTGCATTAGCGATTTGCAACAGAATACTTGGATATAAAAAAGATAGCATATTTCGAAGGCAAGGCTTGGCCTTGTATTTTCATGCCAGAGAAGTACACATCACCTGAGGAAATAGCATACAACGACATCCCTGGCGGTCTAGAAAGACGTGCACCACGAGAAACGCGCCCAAACGTTTTGAATGGAGTGCATATTTTATCAATGCACCTGATGGTCGATATGAAAGGCACTCGACTTTTTAGTTCTCGTATGGGAAGTTCAGTACATTGTGTCAAACAACTTGGAGCGGACACACCGGCTACTCTTAGTGATTTGCGTACTATATTGCACAAGGAGCGTGGTACCGACACACCAGACTATGGAAATACAGTAAGCAATGAACGGACAACAGGAGGACCGAATAACGGTGGGTTTCAAGGTCACACTATCGGCTCACTGGCCTTTTTAAGTTCACGGGACATGGTATAGGCGTTAAAGGAATTGCACAATATTGGTGGGCTCGGAGGCAGGAAGTAGAAGCAATGGTCAAGCACTTATTTAAAACAAAAGAAGAAACGCTACTTGTATTCACGTCCGCTACCATGGCTGAATATCATTGGCGTAATCTACATACGTGTCTGGCTGCATTGCTACGTAAGTGGGGTCGTGATAAAGAAGCTGATAAATTGACCCAGAACTGGAAATAGCAGGAGCTCGGCGAGTTCATCGAATTCTTCAGGATTACCCTCAAGTATTGAATAGATACTTTGTACTTCGATGCAAAACCTAGTTCAAGATAGTACTAAACGAGGGTCTAGGCATAAACGACTGGTGGGCACGATACGAGTTTGCTAAAAGTAGAGGGGCAATCCACCTTCTCGTATTGCTTATGAAAATAAGTTCTTGTTCAGTTCTACATACTTTATTAGACGAAACACTTCGCATATGTAAGATGACGCATGACGATGATGAAACTGACAAACAAACACAGGATTATATAGAAATGATCTAATGTAGACTAAAACAGTTGGAGGCGAGAGCAGCGAAGGAGATTAATGGCACTCTTCCCCATGTACTAACTGAGATCAGCGCTCTTCATCCATCAGGACGTAAACGTTCCCATCCAGATGCTGAATGCCTCACCGAGTTCTATAAGAATCTTGTTAAGGTTGCCTGTACGGAATTATGTGTTGACGAAGAAAACGACAGAGAGAGAGAGAGATTACAAAAGCTAGCTCGTAAAATCGTACGTGGCAATGAAGACGTACATGAGACGGAAGTGAGAAATGTAAACGAGTGGCCAGGGCATGAAGGAATTGCAGAAAAACTAAGTGCTGAGTGTTTATGGAGAAGAGGTTTTGATGTCTGCGGACATTGAGAAGCAAAGACATCGAATTAATGTTATCAATCGCACGTCGCTGCACACATGTAGTTCATATTATTTGCGAAAGACAGGCACGATCAAAAATGAGGACGGTATACTTGAGGACAGATTGGAGTGTAGAATGAATTCTGGTGTGCAGAACAAACATGTCGCTGCGAGAAGCGACGGGAAGAAAGTATCAAAATACCCGTACCTAGATACACGACGTGGCGTAACTGTGCTCGAATGCGAACGTGATCACCCTCGCGCAGTCCAAGGTGCAAGAGAATTGACTTATGCATGGGCAGGTAATTATGATACTCAGTTAATATTGGGCATGCGGAATAATGTTGCAACTGATTTGGGTATGCCTATAAGACAGTGGTGTGTAATGATAGACCGCGAGAAAGAAAAATATGGTGGTCAGGTACTGGAAAAAAATACCTGAGGCAAAATGGGAAGCAGCGCAAGCCAGTGAAACTCCCGAACAGCGCACGGAGAGGCTTGCCAGAAATGTGTTTCATGCACGATGACACTTCCAGCGTACACGTATGTATGATAATAGAGATGCGTATCTTCAAGCTATAAGTGATTATGTTGTAGGTTATGCCTGTAAAGGAGATATTAGCGCACATGAGGCTAAGGATTTTTTTCGGGCACTAATTGACAGTAATCCACCAGGCACAAGCATACAATCTATGGCTCAGCGTTTGAATAGTAAGATTATGAAAGGCAGAGAAATTTCGGCAGGCGAATGTAGTATGGTTATAAGTGATGAGAAAATGTACACATGCTCACGCAAGTTCAAAAGAGTGTCTCTTTATTTTTTTCGATGCTATGCAGCGTCAAACCAAGACCAGGTTAACATGGCAATACGAGGAGAAGATAGTACCGATGTAGGATTGCACGATAACATGTTCGACAAATTCATCAAGTCAAAACAAGCCATCAAGAAGCGCTGGGAGGACGACAATTCAGACACAGACGACATTAATAGTGAAGATACACTAGAGGACTTATTGAAATATTCTTTTCATGAATATGTTTTGAGGAGTATCGAATCCAAAAATGGGATTCCTGAATACCATAATGGAGACATGTATGCGACATGCCCTCTTAGAGCTAGCTATTGCAGAACAGTGCTACTTTTACACGACAAACCCCTCACAACTGCCGAAGATGCATCGTTTATGAGCTTGCCGGAAGATGAGTTGATAGGATTTTTTTTTTTTGGGATTTCCTTGATCGAGACGATACGCCTAAACATGTACGGGATGCAGTAGTACGCGCAACACAGCAGGCAACGTATGGTAGAGACAAAAAAACACGTAACGGAAACGATAGATCACATGCAAGTGGCAATCACATTGAAACTTCACTGGATGTTTTAATTAATAATGGTAATGAACGAAAATAGTGAAAATTTAGTAACTAATTACACAGAGATGGAGACAGGTGCACTACCGAACACAAATCGGGATTGGAATGGTGGCAAGACCAAGGAAGACTTAGAGAAGTATTGCATGATGTTCGCAAGAGATTTTACGACCAAAAGTAACATTTTTATATACCTAGAAGCAACGATAATCATTATATTGATCCATTGCCTTTTATTCGAAACGAAGAACAGTGTGCTGTGATCACTGCATACCTTGAGCATCTATTGGAAGAGCAGCCATCAGAATTACGCTGGTGCGTTACTGGCATCACAGGAACAGGGAAGAACTACGTCATGAAGATTCTTCATGGTATAACAATGCTTTGGACGGCTAATGCAATGTCTTCAATCATCACCGCTCCAACTGGTGCTGCAGCTGGTAACGTAGGTGGTTCAACACTCGACCGCCTAGGTAAATTTAAGCGCCTGGCTACGGAGGATGTTTCCCTGAGTAAGTCTGGAAACGAATCTGAATTCGCACAACAGCAAACGCTTCTACAAAACACTATTCTTCTACAGATAGATGAGGGCTTCATGTATGGCAAGAGGCTTCTAGGGTAATTCTGTCAAAGATGGTCGGAATTGTTTAATAACGGGGAGCAAGTGAATACAAGCGCGATGATTTGGTTTGAACCGATATTTGGAAGTAGTACTTCAACAGCGTGATTAGCCGGGGTATAGGGAACATCTGTTGATGTGTCAGGGACGGGTGAGGGTACGGTGATAGGCCCGAAACTGCCGCCCATTGGCTCTGACCTCCTTCAGCAATTACAGGAGTGTCACGACTTCCACGGTATCTGGACCCTCCACGAACACCTTGGATGTTTTCTCCAGCATGTTGAAGAACCATCGTACCCTCACCCGTCCCTGACACATCAACAGATGTTTCCTATACCCCGGCTAATCACGCTGTTGAAGTACTACTTCCAAATATCGGTTCAAACCAAATTATCGCGCTTGTTGGTTCCGACTATGATACTTCCGATCCAGGCCAGCCAACACATACCGAATTCATCCGTGGTCTGGTGCGACATTGGCTTACCCCCATCCTCACTTCTCGACCAGATTATGACAGATAACCTGGTCCTTCTCGGTATTTCGTACTCTGCACTAACCCATTCCGCGGCACTACACGGCGCAGACCCGATCCGTACCACAGAGGCGGGTACTCTACTTGCACTGGTGCGTGTCTAATGTAACGCAGAGAGATGCAGTGCCTATAGCCACATCGCATACGACAGAGTATACGGTATTGTGCACCATTGTTTGTGCTATCATGGAACATTCGATAGTAACAGTGTTTTGTCAACACCGGCCCGAATTGACTCAGCACATATCTTCCATTGTCGACTCACTTGGCCCAAGCTTCAAACGGGAATTTACTGACCACTTCTTCCCATCAATCTTTCCTGAACCACTACAGCGACTATGAGAGCCATACCATATGTTCATACATTGTTTCATACATACTTGCCATTTTTGAAATAAATAATATTATCCCTACCAGGATGCGTCGAATCAGTTGTTGGATGCAGGTAAAGTGGCTGGTAGTGAACTTGTGGCTACCGGGGCAGGCAGGGCAGAGACAGCCGTTGGTGCGGTAGTCGAGCAATGTGAACATGTACGTATTCGTTACAATCATAGCACAGAGCCGGATTGGTGTAGACTCGAAGCAGCGATTGAAGCTGTCGTGTCTGGCTGTGTCTCGGTTTGAGGTTGACGGTTTACCCATAACCAGTTGGTAGTGGTATTGGCGCCGGGCCATTGCCGCGATCTCCTTGTTGGACCAACGTTTTGTTGAGTTCTTCCTGATGTCGTCACAGCGTTGGCGGAGGGCTACATAGTCGGGTGTACGCCCGCCCGTGGTTTTGTGTACAGTTTTCAGGTGAGCATAGATACGGTACGGGAAGCGCAGTGATGGTTTATCGTGGGCCCAGGCGGGTTGCGTCAGAGGGGTAAGTGGATTTGTGCTGGCCATTGAGTCGAGTTGTATTCCCAGTCAACCTCCGAGGTAGGGATAATATTATTTATTTCAAAAATTCCGCGAATGGTCGCGCGTTGTATACTCATGGAGTTCAAGAACTGACTTCTTGTATATTTTGTTGATGGATGTTTTGTTGCACGATACTAGTGCTCATGTTGTTATTTCATTGCCCTTGCAATCCTGCATAAGCGACAATATTTGGTTCATTTGTCGTGTACCGAATTGGTTCGGCCATGTATGAATACTTCTGAGTAATATGAGCATTTTTATGTTCGGATTTTAAGAAATTAAGATCTCAGGCAAGTTTTTACAGTAAGAAAACTTTAGTTTAATGAAATCATTAGTTAACTCACTCCTGAGAGCTATTTGAGTGTCTTTTTCCATCTCCGACAGTTGATTCAGTTTCTTAACCGCAACAATATGAAAAATAGTTGCGCTCCTATGTGGGTCATAGCCTACATCATGCTATAGAGTACCATATGATCAATGTGAGAATAAGTAGTAGAGAAGTCGAAACTGAATAGTATCGAATTGTTAAAGTGTTCTGCAGAAAGATTCCCATACTGACCATATGAGTATTTCACCTTGGCCAACCCAAGTGGTTGGATACTAGCACAAACACCTTTGGGATAATATTATTCATCTCAATTTGGGTCAAATTTTACGAGTCTATATGCACATCAGGCTTCATATTCGTTGGAGAGGTGCTGGAAAATTGAAGGGAAGTTGAGATTGTCGAACTGCCGCGAGAAGCTCTGGGTGAGTGATGCAACGATGGAAGACATACGGCGAGTTATTTCACGACGATGAATACAGAACACATCTACCATTAGGTGAGAGCTAAAACTTGGTGTGCCATTGTGTGAAATAAAGCTGGCCCACCTTAGGTAAGAATCAATATTGAGGTGCAAAAAGTTACACATTTTTTACTTTGATTAAAGTCTACTGTTCTACACTCTTCACGGATTCATAAATATTGTCTGTTGATTAGTAGAAATAATATTTTTTGGTTGTAGTGTAAATTGTGTTTGAATAGTGTTATTATTATACCGTTGTGTGATTTGTTGAGATTCTATATATTCTTCTACGTGTTGTACCATCTGTGCAAGTGCTGATCGATAAGTAGTTGCGTAATATATATGTGTGTAGATTGAGTTGCAGTCAGTATAGAAACATGTTGTTGATACTCTGACGTGTCTGGTAATTCAGTCATAAAGCTGCATCCAGTTTTATACTCTCTGGCTGACATAGTATATGTTCTTATACCGTAAGTAGTTGCGCTTTGAGCAGTTTCATCTCATTCTCACACTTCCTTTCTTAGCAATCATTTCGTCGCTGACTTCATTTTTTTCTTCGACGATAGCAGCATTCGCCTTTATGAACAATATATCGATGACATCCTAGACCATGTGGCTGCGGTGTCGAAATAATTCGAGGCCACTATGTCCTTAAATGCACTATGCGGGTTGTTGACGATGAGGTTGACCGTTTAATCTGTTGCAGGACCGCTGGATTCTGTGCTGGTGGTATTTTTATTTTGTTACCTTGATGTCGAATGCGTTGGCGCAGTGCTCGAGTGAAATCCCAGCTTAAAGCCGACAACCTGCTTTTTACGACACTATTGCTTTGAATCTCTTTATTGCTATACGACTTGGTGAGATGCCACCTAATACTCAGATAGGACAACTCGGTAATGGTAATGGCAGTGAAAGACCCTGGCAGCTTTGGTATTTCAGACGTTGTTGTATATGTGAGGCTGATTGTCATTATTAACCGTTTCGGAGGAAGTGTCTGAGGTAGCAAACCACTAGATTCCACATCTGTCATCAACTGAGCGAGCTGTCGTTCACTTTCTGAGGATATGAAACTGTTTTTGGAGAGGCTTTCAATATCATCACCTGAAGCATGCAAACTGTCCAACAACGGTGACTCTGGAATAACTTCGATGTCCATTGTCTACGTCGAGTTGTATTCCTTATCGTGTCTCGTGTCATGATGCGCAGCTTTCTAATCGGTTGCGAATTGTGCCTATTATGTATCGTTCATTTATCTGGCTTGGGTACTATCGGTGTTTATGTGATTCTTGCAGTCGAGTACGACGTAAGGGAATTTTTTTGGTGGCTGCTGAGTTGTTGTTCTGAGTTGTTGATGCAGACAGCATCGTGCTGTGATTAGTAGATGTAATGATGACCAGAGTATATATCGATTTGGGGTTGTGAGTGTTGTCCGGGCGTTTCTGGGATAGCTGTGTGACATTATCCCGAAATGGTTCGAAATTCAACTTTGGGGAGTTTTTTTGGAAGTGTATCTGAAATCTTACTCTTGCTCTCGTCCGTCAATCGATTAGATACAACCCTGTTAATCTATCTGTTCTCCTCTTCTTTTTCCTTCTAGCTGTAAGACTTGACTGCTCGGCGAGTGAATACTGCTATGCTGTCCAAGTTGTGACCGCATAGGTTCTATTGAGTTATGACTTCCTGTTTCTTGAGTCATTTGAGAATCAGCGGTCCCTTGTATGATTCTAGTAAGAGGTCGTTGGGGTTGTCCGCCAGTTTGTAGATGACCAAGTTGGCGTTGGTAAAACAGTTGCTGATATAGTTTATTCCTCGCAGTATGCGTAGATCTCCTTTGATATCTTCCATACTCTGCATGAGAATGTACACTATATGGGCGCCGCATAAGAAGTTCACGAGCGTGGTCTTGCTAAGTCACAAATTATTTGTCTCCTTTTCGCCATGCAGGGTTGAAAGCTTCATATGGCACTCGAATACTTCAGAGTTGTTGGTGGGAAATGTTGCACCGCAGCAATGTATGAACATCAGGTCGTCGGCACGTTATGAAAAATAGCAATAGGTGCCAGTTGGCAAGGTGTTTCATTTTGTGACTTCCGTCCTTTCCTTCTATCAAATTACACCTTGCAAGTCCCTTAATCCACGGGGGTTGCCCACTGTATTTCCCTCGGCGGCCATTCGCATCTTTCATGTATTACGGAAGTCTCGGTTCAACCACCTGTTCATCTCAAAATTCCACCCACCCTACCCATTGTTTCTTCTGTTCACCTCATACGAGTCGCTACGCAGGTCAATAGGATCATGTATACGTTGAGGTGGATTCAGTTTGGTCATTCGTATGTTTTGCACCTATCTCTATATATTATGTATGTCGACTCGAGTGTGAGAATAGACACCCACAGTAGCCTTCGATATCTCATTTAGAGACCTAGGTAAGATATGTTTATATTAACTAAAAAAAAAGTGTCTTTACTATTTTTACCCAAAAATACCTAATAAACAATCGAAACACAAAATATGCGACCTCACCAATAGCCAGCCTCATCGGAACAAAATTTGCTTCCATTTACTGTCAAACGCTCCATCACATCATGCTGCTTGTCATCCAAATCAGCAAGAAAGAACTGAAAATCTGGATATAATACGAACAACCTCATGTCTTATCCGATGGAGCTATCGGCAAATATTATGCTGCGTATCACTTATATTACTTTCTCTATATAGATGGACTCAATATATTATACATCCATTCGTTAGGATGTTAAGTTTATGGTGTTCTAGGAACTATGTTATGATCTATTACATCAATGGCATCGACGTGGGGAGATTGCGGAAGACGGCCTGAGCGTTCTGCTCCTGCAAATGAGACCAGCCAAGTTTCAAAGATAGGACATCACGGATGTAATCGCTCAATAATCGGCCAACATCGCCATCAACAGAGTATTTGAGCACCTTTATGGCCAGCTGCTTTTATGCACCGACATAAGGAATATATGTAAAGTTGAGTTGCACGTATGTAAACTATGGCAACATATGTAAGTCGCGCGCTGAGAGAGCACATTTTTATTATAAACGACACAAGAGTGATATAAAGCGGGTCCATCAAATGACAGCAGAGTCGACTATGAATCGACCCTGCGGCATCGCGGTTACTCAAGTACATGTACTATATTCAACCAAAATATGTACGCATCGATTCGAGTTTAGAATTGAAATCAGAGATTAAGTGCGCGAACCTGTATGCGATTCGAAATTCAATATGTGATTGCGCCTCGAAATATACTGCAAAGAGAAAGAGTACGATTGTTGCGCTTCCACTCACCTTTACAGCCGAACCATAGCGCTGGTGAAGAACATGATCTACCAGCTCCAACGTATCTCGTCTTGTCGCGGCCTTGTCCTTGTCACCGACCCACTTGCATAGCTGTTCGTACGTCTCTGTGAACTGAGCAGCCAAGTTTTCTGCTAAAACGAATACAAGTAGTTGATTCCGGGATGAGATTATTAAATATTATGCACCCATTTAATTACTCACGGGTTTCAAATCCATATAGACTGACAACCACAAATGTGATTATAAATGGCAAGCAAATCAGTTCCTCGAGGATATACCAGTGCATCAAACAAACGAACACTGAAAATAGCACGACTAAAACAAAGCCCGCACCGAGAGAACCCCAGAGTTTGATATTAAATTCAGACGATGGCCCCCCAAAAAAGCACACGATTCATGCATCTGAGTTTCGCAACTAACCATCTGAGTGTGCAGCGGCGTAAGCACGGGCTTTACGATACAAAGCATCGATAAGCAGTGTTTTCTGAGTGGCCATTTTCTTCTTGTCTGCTGCATCGGGGTCCTGTTGGATGCCATTATACGCAGCCAAAGCTGTCTGGTCGATCTGACTGATCAACTCGGTCGCACAATTTATTGTGGCTTGTCGAATTTCGGAAGAGATCGTAATGCCTAACAGAGTGTAGATCAAAGTGAAGGTTATATGTGGGGAGTAAACGTCTGAACAGATCTTCATGCATCTCTGCGAATCGTGAGTGATCTCAGCGCGTTTTTGAAAGTCAGTGTGAGTGGATAAAAACTAAAACGTTCTTATACTTTATCGTCCTAACTCAGACATATACTTAACTCTGATATATACTCTATCTCTACGAGGTGTCGTTGACTGAGGACGATCTGGCAAATGAACATACGCTAAATTTTGGGTTCGTTTCATATACATGTTACATGTACACACACACACACACACACACACACACATATATATATGAAAATATATGTATATACCATTAGACCACTCGCAGTCCTCTGGCGTCGGTAAGCAGATTGCTTCGATTGACTTGTAGGGAGCGGCGTCGAGGCACTCTAACCATGCAGCATACAACGGCAAGTGCGTGGGATGCCTCTCTTGTAGATCCTTGTATATCGTGGTAGCTGGGTTGGTGTAGAAGTAAACATCTTATTTTAACTCTTATTGATCCACTGCGGAAGTTGATACTCGGAATGAATATATATTATATTGATTACACGTTATGTAGTATTGTCGCGAAGAATACATCACATAGGAATTCAATTTAGAGTAAGAATCTGTTCTGCAGAGTGAGAGCGTGAGCGCATCGATGAAGACAATTCATTGTACACGCACAAGAACGGGTGCATACGTAAGAGCGTACGAGCACACACATCCATACGCACACAGAGAACTAATATACCCTTGTCTTGATCTTTCTTGTACTCTCCAGGCAGAAGTTTTACTTTGTACTTCAGCACAGACAATGAGAAATCATCTAACGGCGCTTCGAGTGGTTCTGCATCAATCTTGGGCGAATCTGAAAGGTAGTAAATTTCTAGTCAATATCAATTTAGTGAATTATGGTTATAAAAATGTGAAATGCATGTGGCCCATGATGTTGTGGAAGTACAAATTGAGATTTGTTCATCAGACAAACATTGCAATTAATTTATGAAGGCCGCGCCCGACGGCATCAAATTATGCATGAATTCATGATACCATTGCTTAATAGCCTATTAATGCTACGTCCACACCAAAATACTTATTACATCGCGATTTACGTACAATAACAGACGGCTGGTGTCTTTACATCGCTAGCTAGCAGATACTTTCTACAAAGCAGGATATTTTATCACAATATCTTGCCAATTACTATCAATCTATCATAAGTAAACGAGCAATAGCCACCAGCTACTGTTGACGCTATGATGAAGAGCCTGTTCAGACCACAACGACAACTGCAATAACAGTCATGTGATACGGTTTGTGAATGGTATATGCTAGTACACGGAATACAACGCCGCCCCCAGTAAGCATTACATATTGGACACAGAAAACGATCAACATTTTCTCAGTATGTTCGATTGTGGTCACGATCATCTCAATTTCACCATTGTATGCTGATTGTTATATGCCACCCAACATCCTGAAGGGGAAAATGTTTATTATGCGCGATATTCACCGTGCAAGAACCTAATCATACATTGCAAAAACATACTCCTATCTTAAAAGTAAACTGATCCACCCTCTCACCCTTATTTGGAAGCAGGGAATAGGTACACACTATACAGTCATCGCTTACACAGTTGGATACATCAACAAAATACCACAGCGAGCGAACTCACACATGTCTCTTACCTTTACTGGGATTCTCTTTGACGATGACTGGGGCCACATGCACAACCAATGACCAGCCACGCGGTCGTTTGCCACATCCGGCAGTATCGCATTGTTTACCATACGTCACCGTACCTACCAAAGTGTCACCCGCCTTGGCCCATTTAGGCAACTTATCGGCAGGCGGGGGTGTGATAAATACTGGGACTGTCTGACCCTTAAGGATGGAGCGCTTCTTGAACTTGTGGTTGGAACTCCTGCTCTCGAGATGGACATTCATATATGTTAAAACTACAGATATCCTTGAAACTTATACTTAAAAAATATCAACAAAATAAATTATAGAATAATATTTTCATATTGGCAACAGAAGTAGGCCATCTATCTGGCCAATGTAAAGTGTGCGAACACGAAGGAAACTTCAAATGAATACAAATGAACACTCAGCGTCATATGCAGTCTCGAGCGTGAATAAAACAATGTACTGGCTGATCTGACTCGAAAAGTTCACAGTGGAGTAGCTTATAGCCAAGATAGGAGAACATAAGAGTCTATAATACCACATGACGGACGATATGCGATATGTTCAGTTTATATAAAAGTGATTCTCATGAAATATATTCACTCAAAGGTATATGATTGCAACCAGTGCTACCATATCATGTATATATATAAGTACGGAATACTATATATGTGTACACGTTCACGTATATCTATACATACACTTAATGGACTGCGCCGAATCAACTGATTGCACGACACATAGAAGTTTGATATCAGATTATTTGTACATCCGATATGCACCAGTCTGGGCAAATCGCAATGCTCGTATGCACAAATATCGATGGTTAGTGAGCCTGCTACATTCTCACGAACATACCACAACGAGTATTCACAATTGCCAATATAAATAAAACTGTGTTCGCATAATTGTGCACCCAAACCCACACGCATACGCATTTTTAAATTTTCACTGCCCTGGGATGACATTCGAGAATGTGACATACTTTACTACAGCTTTTTCGAATGTAGGGTAGACGTCTAATGGGATATCCTTCTGCAATTTCGTTTCGAGCACCAGCAACATATTTCGTAGACGTTCGAGTTGTGCCAAGTCGTACGAACAGACCTGATCAAAGCAATATAGTTGAAGTGGTTTCATCACACAAATACGCAGAAACACTATGAATACCACTGCTTAAGCTTGGCATGCAGGTGTGCGGTGCGAATATGTGTCCTGCGTGTAGATCATGCATGTATGCAGCAGAAGTCACATCAGAAGTACGATTGACACTATCAATTTTACACTTCTCAAAAGAGATACAGATTTTCTTCAACAAGACACTGATCTATATAAAATACAAACAAAATGGCTACATAACCGCAGACACATATGTTTACGAAAATTTTACGTCTAGGAACGTCATGGGATACCTGTAATCGAGCGATATACTCTCCCTTGGGAAGCTTGCACTTGCTGGGGAAGGCATCACTCCACACATGCACACGGTTTTTCTTGTCCAATATAACGCAGAGTTGCTGTTGGAATACACTCTCATACAGTGTGCCGTTGAGCAAAGGGAATCTGGGAGTTACTTGCGAGCTTTCTGATTCTTCCTGGTTGAACTCATATTGTAGCAGCAGTTCGTACACAGGACCCTAATGCAACCATTCATCGTCAAACGTGTGAGGGGTATGGCAAAGGTGCGTGTTCATGTGACTTTCAACAAATATTATACACGAGCGTCTAAATATGAACAGGACAAAATCTGCACATATTTCTCCGATTACAACAAAACTGTTGAGATCCAAAAGAAGACTGTTTCTATTGAGCACTTCTCTGAGTTTTATAGAAGACTATCTACTTCCATGGAGCTGTCAATAGTAAAGAGACTCACTGACAAATGCTATGGTAGACTGACAAGCCGGTACATATCACTGTGACCACCACCTCTGTGGTATCCTAGTGCACGAAATATGAAATTGAACTACGCACCACTCCGGTTGACAAAGGATATCGTTTTGCATTGGTATTTTCGTGCTAAATATCCGAGCATACATTTCTACCAACAGATTAAGTTACGTGCACGTGTGTTCTGTGTTATACTCTCACATGTGCGTTTGACATGATCAGCATCATCTTTCGCACACTGCTATACACAAACAGAGACAACCAGCTAGCAACTACAATCCAATCCACCATACGTAGAACCAAAAATATACTCCTGGTGGTTTTGTATGCCACGAATGCTAATCTCAACTTCAGCACAGTGTTAATAGGCAGGTGAAAAATTCAAGAAAATTTACTCGTACACACAAAATTCAACCTTGTGAGGCATGGTATTTCGGGGCTCTATCGGAAGCGGCCGAAGAGTGGTAGTTTTTGGCCTAAAGTGCTGACGAATGTCTTTCAGGACCACAGTTGGATCAAGCGTTTCCGGACGCAATTTGCAGAAAGCGTCTACTCGTACCACCTGGAATTCACAATGGACGTCAGTGTAAAGTATTCCAAAGGGTGAATACATGAGGATGCGGGTGCTCCGACAATGACGACTACACCCTCTCACCATATACAAGCATACAACAAAAGCCCAACCAATGCAACAATGTTGTGCAATGTACAAATAGTTGAAGTGTAATCGCAGAGAATGAAAGCGAGTACAGTTTTGGCCACGGAGGTATAGAGGTGGCCGTTGTGCTAAAATCAGATTAAAAAGTAAATCAAGTCGAAACGCGATTAAGCCATTAAGACAATTTAGACAATCTACAACAAAAATTAGAAAAACGTTCAAAATAATCAGAGAGCTTGACGAATAGACATTCGAGAAGATAGCATATACTTCGATAAAATCTCAGAAATCGGTTAAAGTCAAATCGGAACATTGAATTTAAAAATGCGAATAATTCTGACAAAACAGACACGTGTTTGCACTTTGGTATGTAGCCGTTTGTAAACGGTTGCCAGCAGAAAAAGGTCCTCCCTGAAGTACTTGGGCTGGGTTCAATCGGGGAAGAGCTCAACGGGAGAACTTTGATTGGGATAGCACGCCTACAAAATTGGATCAACAGTCAGACACCCAATCAAAAAAATATATAACTCAAGTTTCTCTCACCTCATCATCACCATGCAGCGCAACGCACTCGAGATTCGGCATGATTCCATGGAACTCAATGTGTGTGCTGACCAAACAATCACCGAGACTGTTCCAAAACTGGGCCACACACAACTCCAATGTGGATCCACCAATCACACGGAACGAGCGTACCAACGGAATGCCTTCTTTGACCGGAAGTCGAGTTTTGTACTCGGACGTCGAGTGACCGGCCTTAGATGTGAATGGCATTGGTCGCAAAAGTGACAAAGATACATGTATCAGGGCGCCGCAGAACTGAAGACAGCCAAAGGTGGAGTGTAAAACGGCAGAGCAAGATACGCAAAATGCAAGGCACGCCAGTTAGAAACAACGAAGAAGCTCACCTGCGCATGCAGTTGCTGTGCGTGAAGAATGAACACCTTCGACGACCCTGGAGTGCCTGAAGTCACAGTGACGGTCACATCCGCCCACGTGGCACCGCTGGGCACACTGAAAACGTGGCGTTCCATGTGGGCGGGTGTGTATGCGATGTCATTGAATGTATAGTCAACCTTCTCCGACTGCTGCACATCGGCATCGATTCTACTATTGCGATTGCTTTGCTGTATACATTAATAGAAAAATGCGCTTCCGTGAGTATATATGTGTTCGCGAGTGCGAGGTATATTGTAATTTTATTCCCAATAGGCATGTCGGTACATCGATGGGGTGAAACTCCTGCGTCGCAAATTTCAGGTGCACACGAATCACTGCTGTCTCAGGACAACATATGTTTGAGGGGTTCTTCAGCCACACCCAATTCCAGCAATCGTGATTACAAATGCGACATAGCAGATGTAAGTCATGAACGAAGGAACCACATATGATAGACAGACACCGATAAAGACGAATACAATCACATTGTCGTAGATATCGGTACTGACTACCATATTCGGAAAGCAGCCTGCGAGGAAAACGAGTACATATACAAGCATGAAGGATATATAGTAATTAACACTCAGTGTGTGCGATTGTTTGAACCCCATCCCAAACTTCATATTACATACCTGTGATACGATATGCTGGCTTTCGGTACTGGCATAAGGTATCATGATGGTGACAGGTATACTGAACAGAGGCAGTCCCGAGGCCTCATCGGAGTCATACGCGTACACTAGATAGCAAAATATAAATCGGGGATATTCCTATTAAACTGTCCTCACACTACGAAAAGGACCTCGCATCCCCCCCCCCCCAAAAAGGGTTAATTGCAGATATATACAAGTGTTTTACATATCGTCTGCAAACACATATGCAGGGTTCGTCGTGTGTGTTGACTATCTGCCTGCAATTGGGGTTTTTAGTATTTGAATATGGCATATGCGTATAGCATTCTAAACTCTCGAGGCGTGATGTAGTCGAAGTGACAGATAGATGTTACTGAGTACACCAATGTAGAAAAAACAAACAAACTCGTTGTTCTGTGCGCGACAGAGAGATTAAACAATACCAACTGTAAGCGTAGTAAAACATCTTCGTTATAACTTAAGATTTCACACTTCCCCTCCTCTTCTGGACCACCCAATACACTAGCAATACACTCATATGCATACAACGCCAAAGAGTCCTGGGGCTCAGAAAGAAACTTCTACACCCGCACATAACCACAGATACGCAGCGAATAAAACGCAACAAGGTTTCAGATAATACCTGTTGTGGCATATGTGCCAGGTAAGTTCATGGCGCGAGCTTTGTCCATATCCACTTCAATATTGAAAACGCGGCCGGTTGAGTTGAGAACAACATGATTTGGCGGTGCTACCCAATCAGCCTCACACTCCAGCATTAACTTGAGCTCAAAATCGACCTGTGAGTGTGCGCACGAAAACAGTGGTAATTAAGACAAGTACGCAATCAGAGAATTAACTGCCGGAGTGACAGTTAAACGCGAGAGAAGACGTGGACTGTATACTAATCTAGGTATGCGTCTCTTGGCGTGTGTGTGTGTGTGTGTGTGCTTGTTCACGCTGTAAATATCTGAGTACATTTGTCTGAGGCGTGCTGTGTGCGCTTGTGTAGTGTACAGGTACGCAACTCGTACGTATGATCAAGCACATGGTGGGACATGTACAGCTACTCTATGATGAATATGCATGTAGTAATTCATTAACTACATGTGGCAACAGATTGTGCTTCCACAGGTGTGAACATACGTAACCCTCCTATGGATGAATAGTCATACAATCCTTGTGATGTTCTTCAACATAGATCCGTTGGGATATCAAAACCTCTCCAATGACGAGTTCAGATAAAAAACTACAAGGATAGACGTGAATAAATAGTCACTAACAGGACAATTCTCCCTCATAAGCACTAGCCTTCTCTCCTGATGGGGCATACATTATCTACTTATCTTCGAGAGATTAATATTCAATAGCTCTTATTTTGACATCTCATAGAGATAAACAATTACATAGTCTATGTACATACAATGAGATTGTAAATACGGACGCATATACCAGATCAATTATAAGACATTGCTATAAAATATGAATTGGAAATTCAAAACGCTTCTGAATTCCGAAGAAAACCAGAGCATTGAATTAAAGAAATTGAGTATATCATACGATTGAAATCAAAATTTTCGATACTTGAACGAATGAATTCAGGTCAGTAGTACCCACCTTTAACGTGTTACATATTTTCTTCGAGAAGAAAGGCTTGACAGTAATCGCGCATGTAGTCGTTGCAGGAGATGTCTCGTAAGTCTCTCGTAGATAAATACCACCCCTGTACGTATGAATGTGTGCATTTACGGTATATGTGAGCTGGTGTAATCGTTTGCATGTGACCATGCAAATGTGGGCGCGTTTTCAGGTCGTATCACGGTGTACTACTTCGTGAGGGACAAGTGGTAGCGTGAACATATACATAACAAAATCAAATATAAACGAGTGTGCAACGAACTTGTGTCTCAGTGAGCCCTTCAGCCCCATGAACGAAACAGGTCGACATTGCTTGCAAGTCATGATTGCATGAGCCCACAGTTCTGCACAAGATATTGTACATATTTGTATATACTTGTTTGTAATCTCCCTTGCCACACGTTGCATACCACATCCGAGTGTGTATCTATCATATCCTTTTAGAATCTACTGCAGAACTTGCAGCCCTAATTATCAGCATATATTGATTATGAGCGGAAGCAGATGATAATTTAGAAAAAAAATACTTATACTGTACATACCGACTTGGATGACCATGGTAGTTGCAAGAGATATCGTAACCGCATTGCCGACTGGGCGAAGTGTAACCAGCCCATGCATTCTGGTCCATTTTCGATAATGGTGCGCCGCAAAACGCTTTTAAGGCCCGGTCCACCTGATCAACAGATAGAGTACACGTGAGAGTTGTTTAGTCTTCATATACGTGTCTATCCACTAGTCTAACCTAGGCACATAACTATACAAATATGTTAAACTTAGTATATAGCTTTTGCCACGTGTACAAATGTTTCTGAATTGTGGTGTGAATCAACACTTGTATGAAACGAACGAGATAAGAAGACCTCAACCTCAAGAGAGCAAATATCATTTTTTGGTAGGGGCTAGGGCCACATATGCTGCCATGTACAGTGGCGGGGACAGTATGACTATGCATTGGATGGCAATGCACTGATTCGTGACTAACATTGAAGAATAGAGAAATTGAGAAAAAATAATCGAACATCAGCGGAATAGAGAAGAATAGTACAATATATAATAGTGCGCATAGTTTACATATTATTATAAGGGATTGTTATTTAATCCTAGCAGCCCACTGAGCTCTGAGATATACCTGCATGATACCAGCACCCTGAGCGTGGGATTCCACGCCTTTGATCGGTTCGCAAGTTGCGACAAGGCAGCTTTTGATTGCCTGCCGAAGAAAGCGAGCGGAGGAAAACGTTTTTTAGATTGATATCAAAATCAGCAGAACACTCAAGACGAAATGTAATGAATTGTAAGAATAAAAAGACATTTTGTTGTGTGGACACGCGTGTACAAACAAGTCTATTCCGAGCTTGCACACAATAAGCGCGCCACTTTATACACACAATCAGAGTACACTATACTTACCGCAAGATGATTCGTGACCTAATATAATTATAATACAGTTCGAGCTGAGGCTAACAGTTTGTATTTCCATACACGATAAAGAGCGTCCCTTGTAAAATGTACTCGTGACTACACCATACGCATGCTGTGCAACACACTACAGTACCTACCAACAAGAGAACTATACCACCAACCCACTCCGTAAACGTTCACAATATATATATATATATATATTTACCACTTTCATACCTGTGGAGTATACAGAGCCTTTTTCTGCTTCAGCGCACTTAGCAGGAGTGCGACTCCTCCGCACGCATTGGGTGAAGCCATAGATGTACCTGTGTGAGGTATAAGAACGTCACACAATATTAAGTGTTAATAATGCGTAGACGACCGCGGCGTTCTGATACACCACCCATTGAACTATATTGTCGTTTGTATTCCGGGCTTCAATACAAAAAAGCCTAGAAAGTAGTAAGTCTACGTAGCCATGCCTGTAGTACCACTCATTTCTGAACACATAATCACGTCGTGCTTTGTATATCAGTGCATGGACATACCATTCATGAGCTGTGAGCAATTCAGCGTAAAATTTGGTACCGATGCAACGGCTCCACCGGGTGCACTGTAAAAGTGTAAACAAATAGAACATTAACGAAAGACTACAATTTAAAATTGAAATGAACATGATTGTTGTTCACGCTCGCTGCCTATCAAAAAACCGATAGATATATATCCGTGAATACTGAAACCACATCAAAAGAGTAAGAAAAGTGCAATCTCCACATTAGTCACAGTAAACCAATCTTAATATCTCAGCCACAAGTCTAATAAAAAATTATTGCAAATATTGATACACTTGCTACTTAAATTCATCGAGAGGCACCTGCCACTTGTTCGTGGCAATTTAGTGTGTGGGACAGCGCGAGTGTGCCCATGGCAACAACAACGAATCGAGGCAAGGGTATGATTGACTGACATCGAAATTATATTATACAGACAAAACTGCGAAATGGCAAGCAAGGACCAGGTACCTGAGGGTGACTCCTGCTGAGCCGTTGGTGGCCGGCCCACGAGAGGACCAGGTGTACTGAGTGGGGGCGTCTATACTGCCGGCCATGCAGTACTCAGCATCCACCATGGGCTGGCTGACACACGCGCCCACAGAGATGCACTCACTAGTGGTTCCGCCTGGGGCTGTCACCGAGGACAGCGCAGGGCCACTGTTACCTATGGACAATTGTAGAGGACCGTGGGCGTGATACAAAAAAATAAAATAAAGATAAACGAGGTCAGCTAGCTGATGAGAATGGGGAAGAGACTGAGTCTTTCAATTATAAACGTTTTGTAAAGCTAATGCGGGTATCAATTCGTATTCTAGAACAGCAGCGTTATCCAAATGCCGCATGTATTTACTGGCATGTGTGTACGCGCCCAGCAGTACACATATATACTCTTGCTATTGAGCATATATATGTACGCACGCATATGGGCAGAAACTGCTAGTAGAGTCAGTCGTTGGACATTCTCAAAGCCAATTAAAAAAATAATAATTTTGGCTTCACTCTAGAATTGGTCAAGGTTTGCAAAATCGCGTGAGAAGGACCACCCGATACAAACCTCATCAGTGAATGTATACACTGCAAAGACTGACGTTTCAAGGTCAGAAAATTTACACCTACACGAGATAAGTATACGCCTTTCCAAAATCTTACTCGCTATACTTGCAACTAAAGTAAAGATGAGATACCTGCACTAGTGACGAAGACGATGTCATTCTCGCGTACAGCATGATTGGCAAGCTCTGTGATGTATCCGTGATTGCACACAGCGGCGTCCTCGCCATAACTCATGTTAACCAAATCGGCCTTCTTGAGGATAGTTTCCACCCACCCACGTGCCACGCCTGTCCCTGTCTCCATTCCATTCAATCGCGTGTCCCCGATCTTGATTGAGATGATCTGAGCTCCGGGTGCGATCCCGTTGGTTTTCGGACTGCGAGAGACGAGCAGAAATAAAGTTTCAGAGAGGAATAAACCTAAGAAGATTCTGGTTATGTTCTAAATGATCACGACTCGACTTACAAAATTTCAAGGTATTGAAACAGATATATCGCAAGCAAATAAAGCAAAAAAATGATACGATCAGACATCATTAAACGCCGAAAGCATTACATTGTTGTTAATACATATAAACTAATACAAATGCGGAATGCCGCTTGATTGAATCAGTTAAGTGACACATCGATATACTTATGAATAAAATGTTGCATCCATACTTATCCGGATGGTGGGCAGCCAGTATAGAGGCTACATGAGTGCCATGTGCACCGCTGGTGGTGACGACACTCAGCACATCACCTTCGCAGTAGACATTGAATGAGTAGTTGACCATGCTGGCCTCTGACAAGCGCCCGTACTCCTGCCGATATCTGTATTCAAGCATCAACTTTGCATCCTCCAGTGACATGCACGTGGGTTGCACGACACAACACAGCCATTTGCCCTCTGAATCAGATGGAGCTGCAAACAAGATACAGTCTACAACTGGCCCACAGTCCTGATATTCCTTAGCAATACCCTCCAGCGTTTCCTTTGCGTCCGCAAAGTTTGCCTTAGTCTTTCTCTCCTCCGCATTTAAGGGTGTTTTATTGGGGTGCTTGCTATCCCATTCATGCATGTCCTGCATGCACGCAGAGACAGTCAAAGCGAGAAAGAGAGAGAGAGAGAGAGAAGGAGGGAAAGCGAATTTGTGTAGGTGTGTATTCTCATCAGCGCAATAACAGCGCAAATCTGAAGCATCACAAATAAACAAATCGCTACGTTGTCGGTGCCTTTCTTACAAGCATGATTTTTCTTCTGGGAGGCACATGGATCTTTTTGGGCTCAACAAATATATTCTAAATCTTTACTTATACTCAAACTGTTCACGCAACCGTGTCTGTAGTATTGTTAGGTATGCAAGCCTATGTGACTTTATGTTAACGTACTCCCGTCAAGTCTACACAAATCAGATGCCCATCTGATAAGTTTCTCGATTGCCACGAGGGTACCTCCTACTTCGATTATCTCCTTCGTAGCCGGTTTTCGTACGTATATTTGCTTTAGCTCGTGATTGATCTAAAGTCATTCAAAAATACAGTTGATACACCACACCTGGCAAAACGCAGAGAAACCGACATCAATAGAAAACGTACCTACGTACGTATAAATACACGAACATCACGGCACATATCACGGCACTCGAAAAACGACAGATGATAAAAACACATCACTTCAACTACTCAATTCACAGCATACCAATCTCAAAAGCATAAACCGCGACTCATTTCAAAGCGCACACAACAGACGACCATACCTGTACCGCCTGGGTTAGTATCGGATTGTGCTTCATTTCAAAATCTTCCTTCGCTTCGCGGCGTAGTCGTTTCTTCAGAACCTCCGGGCAAAGCTCATACACCCTGTGGTGCAGTGTCCAGCAAGATAATACATTGTCGCGGAGTATGTGAATTCCATCACCTACCAATCGCCTGTGGCGCCGTCACATGTACATTGAGAAAAATATGGACACATGTATATGTAATTTGCAGAAAAAACACCAGGCATACCGTTTAATTCCGATGTGGAATTCGGTCTCCGAAGTTGTTTTCCAGCATTCTGGTACAATCATTGTTCGGCCTGTATGAGGAGGATCAGATACAGGAATGTGTGTCATAATTACTGACAAATTCGTATGCACATGCCGATATTCTCGGTGAGGCAATGTTGGCGTTCCTAACGATTTGGATTTCAAAAGAAAAAACGATATATGCAATGCTTGACGCTGCCCACTACATGACCAATAAAGAGGTACGAGTACTAGAGCACACTGCAATCCACCACTGATATTTCTAAGTACAATCGACGCGAACAGTACAATAATTTGATACAGTCTACAGCAGACTCATTTTATATCTAGTAGCAGGAATCAAACCCAAGCAACCTGGCGCAATAACAGTGTCTGTGTGGTTTGGTAATAGTTGTAGGTACCTTTTCTATACATACAAAATTATTGTCTCGATCGTGTACATCCCGGAAGATACCCTCAAACTCTTAAGCGAGATTTCTTAATATGTACAGACTATCGACCTTTCTGACTCGCACTCAGCAATGACGGCTGCCACACTATGAAGGACCTGATCGAAGGCACGGAGTACCAAACAACAAATACGGACAGCTAGGATAGAGACATGCGGCATTCAAGACAAAGATTTGCCGAACTTTGTTTGAAATCGTTCAGCATAGCTGTATTCTCTACCCCAGGACCTGCACCAAACGACATCACTCCACGTTAATGGGTACTCTAGTTTGATAAGTAATCCATGCATCTACCTACCTGACAGAAGGCTAAGATTTCCATCTGCATCGACTTTGGCAACTTTTGAGGTGTCCACATCACTGCTTCCGGTGGGATCAATAATGTCAATCACTTTTGGCTTTCCATCTGTGGTAGTCTGAGATAAATCGTTTTCGCAGGTTGAGTCGGAATGAAAAGGACTGTAAATTAATTCTAAATTGTAGCCGAGCATTTACTGAGGTACCGTTCGTAACTGGGCTGGCACCCTAACACGAACACGATAAACAAGAAGTGATAGGCCCTTGGCGGAAGCCCTATCCAGATTCGAATCGAAACTTTCTAGAGTATCGATGGTATTGTATGGTTTAAGAGGTAGTGTTCCTGATTCGCAGATCATAACGGTTTGATTCTTTGACACATTACTGTTTGTGGACTAATAAATTACCTGCAGTCCAGCGGCAGCTGGATCTACACCTGTGTCAAACACAGCCACTACAACACCCCGTCCATCGTATGAGGGGTTTTGTTGCAAAAATCTTGAGCACCCAATTTCATCCTGTGATTAGTGTAGTGTGACCCGGTAAATTAGTCGAACTGTGTATGAACATGACAGAACGAAAAAACACTTACAAGGCCGTAAAAGATAGTAGCTTGTCCCAAAAAGATACATAGACGTATTGTGCGAATATCCAAAATAAAACCAGCAATCTTAACAATAGAGACCACTTAACAATTTTGCTCTAAGCGTATATATATATATATATATATATGGGTGTATTTATACACATACATACATACTTTATATATATATATATATATGCATATATATATCTATATATATATATATTAATTTATATTTTATCACACACACACACACTCACTCATACACACACACACACACACACACACTATACTATATATATATATATATATATATATATATATATATATATATATATATATATATATACTATAGTA